CTGTTCGAATTTAAGCTCAAGACTACAATATCTTTTGAGTGATAAAAAAATTGTCAAAAAAAGCAGGTTAAAAAGTCTAAATTTGTCTGAAGATAAAAAAAAACCCACCCCGAGCACGAATATTCCATTACTTTCGTATCGAAAGTCGGAACAAAAAAAATAAAAATTGAAAAAAAAAAACTGTTGAATTATCTTGGATCAATTTGAAATCGGTTTCCAAAGCCATCCTAATTTGAATTTTTTTAGAAAAATTAAAACGGAGTTAAAACAATTTAAATCAATATTTTGAATTTTTTAAAGTTTGTTCTGCATATACTCATTACCCATCTTTCTTCATTTTCTCGAAAACTGCAAATTTATTACCTTACTAACATCACATTGCAAATCTAACATGAATTGTAAAAAAAGACGGTCTGGTAACACATTGAAAAGATGAAGTACTTCTTAAAATTCAATCACTAAGTCAAACCTTTGAATGATTTCAAGTGCTACTAACACATTGCGCGTTAATAATCAAATTGACAAAAATCAAATGGCAAAATTGCCGTTAATGAACAAAAATTGCTCGTTAATTTTGCAAAATAGGCATTTCTAAATACTCAGTTTTACGAAAAAAAAACGGAGGTGAAAAACAGGTAACATATTATTTCGGTAACAATTTAATAGAAGTTTCTTAAAATATAGTTTCTGCCAAGAACCTGATTCATATTTATTGTTCCGACTTTCGATACAAAAGTAACGGAATATTTGTGCTCGGGGTGGGTTTTACATTTATGATTTTCTATGGTTAATCATAAATATAAAACAAATTTTGAGCGAAAACACTCGGAACAAATAACGAAAATGGTCTTTTTAAATCAAATTTTGAGCTTTAACAAAACAAGACTGCTCGTATCAGGGCGAAGCCCTGAATGTTCCGACTGCTTTTTAAGGTTTATGGGGCAGTAATAACATTAATAAATTAAATATAATAAAATAAAATGAAAAAAAAATCAACAATTTGAATTTTTTAAATGAAAATCATCCCCCCACGCGCCATATAAAGTACAAAAGAATTTATTTCGCTCCTTTTAACAAATCAATTATGGCGAATAAGCTCCTTTCAACCAATTTGGAACAATTTCTAAGACGGATTAAATTTCCGCTTACGCGTTAATAGCGCGAAATATATCGCGCGTTAATTGTCCCAAATTGGCCAAAATGGCAATCTTTAAACCCCCATAACTCTACGAAAAATGATCACAAGTGAAATATCTTTTCAAATTTAAGCTCAAGACAACAATACTTTTTGAATGATACAAAAAACATCCGTCAAAAATAGCTAGTTAAAAAGTCGAATTTTGTCTGAAGAAAAAAACCCACCCCGAGCACAAATATTTCGTTACTTTCGTATCGAAAGTCGTTACAACAAGACTGCTCGTATATGGGTATTTTGGCCATTTTGACCAATTTGGGACAATTAAAGCGCGATATAATTCGCGCTCTGAACGCGTAAGCGGAGATTTAATCCGTCTTAGAAATCGTTCCAAATTGGTTGAAAGAAGCTTCTTTGCCATAATTAGTTTGTTACAATGAGCAAAATCTATTGTTTTGTACTTTATATGGCGTGTGGGGGGATGATTTTCATAGGAAATTTTTCAAATTTTAGAAAAAAAATTTTCATTTTGTTTTGTTTCATTTAATTCTTATATGTTGTTTATGTTATTACCGCTCCATAAACGTTAAAAAGCAGTCGTAACTTTCAGGGCTTCGTCCTGATACGTGCACTCTTGTTTTGTTTAAGCTCAAAATTTGATTTAATATGACCATTTTCTTTATTTGTTCCATGTGTTGTCGCTGAAAATTTGTTTTACATTTATGATTTTCTATGGTTAATATAAGCAATTTTTTTGCTTTCAAGCATGCATAATCCTTGAGAATATTTTAAAAAATAAATGGATCGAACCTTAGCACAAGGATTCCCGCACTCAGTAAAAAGAGAAAAAAATTGAATCTTTGCTCATTAATAATAATACTGTCATCAAAAGTATCTTGAATAAAATATTTATGAGCACTAACTGCAGGTGTTTGCAAAATTTATAATCCATTATACAGAAAACAAATTTAATGACCTTACCGTAAACTATAATCATTTACAATTACCTGTTTTTTGTCGAAACTCTGTTAAAATATTACATAAACAAGTAAACCTTCATCTGAAGCCACGTGGGATGACCCTTCAGGTCGACGTTGGCTGCAGGTAGGCTGCACATTCAAATGAGAGGTGGGAACAGGCAGGATGCTCCTGCATGTCAGAGGTGGTTGAAGTTCAAAATTGCAGTTGAAGAAAAATGAACGTTGGAAAAAATGAGAATACAAACTAACAAACACATCGATCTGTCCAGCACATCACGAATCATTTCACACTGCCATCCAACTTGGTGGTGTTACCAAATGGTCATTGTGAAAAAGTGAACAACCAATTTTCCACACTTCGATGCTTTTATGCGTCGATTGAACTGTTACTATCTGTTACTAACTTCGTGCTCACCTTCCCTCTCCTACGAAAATAGACAAAAAAAATTTTATCTTAGCTTTCTCTTTTGAATCAGTGTAAAGATAACTCTAGTCGGAACCTTGAGCGGTGCTTGTAGAGTCAGGTCTGTTCCTGTTAGCTTGTATAATTTGTGTTTGAACTTTGAAATGTTAGCTTCAAGTTTAAAATAAAAACAAGGCTGCTAAAACAGGGCGAAGCCTTGATTGTTCCAAATGCGTTTTACAGTCATTGAACTATTCCAACTGCGTTTTAAAAATTAGTGAAAAAATGTTGGAAAGTTTCAAAAATTAAAAAATGTATATGTTTTTTTTCTTCTGAAAATCAGCCCCCATACGCTATGTAAAATACAAAGCAAAAAGTTTTCCTTTTTAGCATTTATCTAAATAGGCCAAACAGAAATTTGGAACAATTTATGAGACGGATTAGGTCTTCATCCGTTTACGAGTTATTAGCACAAAATCTATTGCGCGTTAATTATGTCAAATTGACCAAACTGGCAATACATAAGCTCCCATAGCTTAAACAAGGTATCATTTTCCTTCACCTCACAAGAGAATCAATTTCATGGTGTAACGATTGGTTTTACAAGGTTAATTATAGACCAAATAAATTTGCCATGGCCTAATTAGTCCTTATGCCAATTTTTAGTGAAAAAATTTCTTAAATTATAAAATTTTTAGGTGGCGGGAAAAAGAGCCAAAACATATCACAGAAAAAATAAGTTTGAAATTTGAGCTCAAGGCAACACTATTTTTCGAATGATATAAAAAACTTTTGTCAAAATGAGCTAGTTAAAATGTCGAAACTGACGGGTGAAAAAGGCCCGTGCAAAAAATCCGTCCTTTTCTTCAAAAGTCATGAAGCAATATTTGATTAAAAATTAAACAATCGAAAAACATTGAAATTATGTAAAAAACGCCGTCAAAAAATGCTAGTTCCAAACTTTGAATTCCTCAGGAGAAAACAATACACTACGAGCACAAATCTTTTGTGACTTTCTTCAGATTTTCTTTGAAAAAACTGCTCAATTTTTAAGGCGAAATCCTGAATGTTGTGACTGTACTTCAAGGCAAATTAAACTTTTTTTGGATGAAGAAATGGCGAAACAATTGAAAAAAAAAATACTTTATTTTTCAAATTCTTGCCCTACAAAGGGAGGTTTTCAGCATCTTTTATGCTTTTAACTCAACCAAATGACCGGCCTCGTTTCATTTTGAATGCAATCATCTGCCGCTTTGGCGTGTTATAAGAACACAATATATCGCGCGTTGATAATCCCAAGTTAGCCAAATTAGCAATTTTCAAACCACCACAACTTTTCGAAAAATTGATCATAGGTGACATATCTTTTTAAATTGGAGCTCAAGAAAACAATGTAATTTAGATAACATATACAAAATTTGTAAAAATTCCAAATTAATGAGTCAAAAATTGACTGAATAAAAAAACCATCCCAAGCATTAGTGTTCGCACTTTCTTCGAAAAACGGAGCAAATTAAAAATATCTGTATAACTTTGCCCTTTTGTTTTTATTTTCAAAAATTATAATGAAATTATACAATATCATGACAAGTTTCTGTTTCAATTGAAATTTTGACCTATAGTTTTAGCAGCTGGAGAAAATTATCTAAATGCTGAACGAAAAGTTCACAAAAGATTTTTTCTATATAGAGATTATTTTCAGTTTTAGTTGTTTTCATCTGAATGTCATTCCTGTTGCATGAAAAAAATCAGCGAAAGCGTTAATCAAATGCTTTTCTTATAAAACATCTTGCGCTAATCAAATAAATTTCAAATACATTTAGCTAAAGCTCTGTAAAGCTCTGACTTTTTTAATAATTTTTTTTACAGATAAAAACATCATACTTCTTTCGCATTTAAGCTAGTTGAGCGTCTGGTGTGTGCATTTAATCAAATACTCTTAAAAACTTAAAATTGTCACCAAAACTGTTGTAGATGAAAACAGCGCTTTGAGCATTGATACAACGTTGAGCTTACAACGTTTTTTTGTCTTCTTGTTTGTACAAAAGATTCTGAGCCATTTTTTATTGTTTTCTTTTCGTCACAAAACATACCATGCATACTGATTTTCAAAATCCGGCTGCAAAATTAATCGTCACTTTATAAGAAAAAACGTGAAAATTTAAACTGAACGCGTTTTTCTTGAAGTATTTTCATCAACAAAAAAGTCCATTACTAAAACGTTTTAAACTAATCATATAGTAGTTTGTGTTATTAATTTAGAGAAATGGTGTTATTTACTAGATCATTAAAAAAGTTTAAAGTTTATGCCCAAATTATTTTAGTGTTTCTTATCTTTTGGACTTTTAAAAACTACTTTTTCGAGCCGAATCAAGATGACACGCAGAAGAAACGATATCAAGCTTATTCCGAGTCCAAGTCGAACAAACATGAAGACTATCAAAAAACTGAGGAAGAAGTTAAAAAGTTTCAAGGCGAACCAATGATACTTGATCCATTACAACTTGTTAACCCGAATCTGAATTGTTCTCGGACAATTCGGCTCGACTTTTTCCGAGAAACAGATTTGCCCGAATACCCGCTGTTCTTTATCGAGACAGCCGATCATGCAATTCTGGATCCTCGTCAGTCGTGTTCAGTCGAGTCGGCGCTTCGCAACTCGGGCCGAAATCCAATTATTCTGATGTCATCACCGATCTTGAAGCCAGCAGACAGTAACGCGACTTGCCAGCTTTTGAGATACGGGGTCAAGTTCTTCAAGTATAACTTTGTTGATTTTGTCAAAGGAACACCGCTTGAAAATCTTGTGTATGAAGAGCTGGAAAGAAATAAAGACGTTATTACACATGCTAGTGACATGATGCGACAGGTTTCAGTTTACAAATACGGCGGAATGTATTTGGATCTAGACTTCGTTATTCTCAGAGATCTGACTGGGATTCGAAACTCAGTCACCATGACCAATATGGCTCGTGAATATGAGTCAGTGAAAAACAACAGCGAGTTTTGCGACCCCAAAGGACCCAGTGAAAAAGGTCATATTCAAAACGCATTCGTGGCTTTGGATAAAGGTCACCAACTTCCGTGGAAAATCATGGAAAATTTGGTCAAAACTTACAACGGCGACAAAAACAGAGCAGCGACTGGGCCTTTGCTGTTGACGCACTCCATTGAAGAGCTTTATCATATCAGCTCGAAAGAGTTGAGAGGCTTCAAAAATGAAAATTTAACAATTTTGCCGACCTTCAAGTTCTTTACGACTGGAGCTAATAGAGTGGGAACCATCTTCAACACACGAAAAGAACGAAGTTCGGTCGAATGGGATGAATTCTTCAGTTGTTCATACGCTGTCCACTTTTATTCATACAATACCAAGAAATTGAAAGTCAGTCGAAATCCAAAAACGGATACCTACTCCTATTTGGCGCCAAAACATTGCCCAATATCATACTTGTCGCAAAAACAATTCTGATTTAACCTTTCCAGTAAATGCATATTTTATAGAACGATCGACTCAAATTTGAGCCCTAGGAAAACAACGAAAAGCGCGGTTTCTTAACAATCCGCACAAAAACGGGTTAATCCTTTAAAAGTTTTAAAAAAACTACAAGCACGGCTTTGAAAATGCAGACATTTATTGTCTGATCCACTTACGACCGAAAAATGGATACGTTTTGAACTTTTATCACTGCCCGGGTTGACCAAAAATGCTCTTCATACAATTTTCATATATGAGAAAATGCTAGTCATACACTTTCCATACAATTGCAGAAAATTGCGTGAAAGGTCCATGATTATTATTTTTCATATATGGAAATTGTATGACTCGCATTTTTTGATATATGGAAATTGTATGTCTAGCAGTTTTTGATAAAAGGAAATTGTAAATTTAGAATTTTTTCATCTATGAAAAGTTCATGATTAGCAGTTTTTAACAATTAGAAATCCAGCAAAATGAGGCAAAAAACTACTTTAAGTCCCATCCCATACGACAGAACCCCAACTGAACAGAGAAGAAAAAACCAGAGAAAGTTTGTTTTCTCATAGTCAATTCTCCTCACACGCTGAGAAAGCAGAGCATTTCTTAATCTTATCCTGGGGGGACTCCATACCAGGAGGGATTGTCTCGGAAAAGTTAAGAAAAAAACCTCTCAGCTAGCTGAGTAATCCAAAACAAGAAACAGTCCAACAGAGGCACCAATATTCTAGAATTCTTCTCTTCCAATCACATCTGACATCAACATCTAAAACAGTTCCCTATAAAACACACAATTGATTGTCACTTGAGTTGAAAAATTGAAACAAACATTTAATTTTAAGTTTGTGCAATAGCCATGCTGTTCAAATTTCTGAAAAAGTTGACAAAACTGACTGAAAAAGTTGACAAATCTTGTTAACTACTCCCCCCCCCCCCTATTACAAAAGGAGGGGGGAGGGATGGTTAACAAGGTACAAAAATTGTGTACGCTTAACTGTTCAATTTTTTTTAATATGGGGGGGATTCGCTACAATGTACCATAGGGGGAAATAGTTATTAAGTTCAGAAAAAAAACCACCCCGATCAGAAATATTCCGTTATTTTTGTTACGAAAGTCGGAACAACAAGTAAGTTGTTTACTTTTGAATTTTTTTAATTCAGTCTACTAACATAAGATACTTTTTAGTCAACAATACCTTAAGTAATCTTAAGTCATCTTTCTTCGTGATTGTTTTAAGAGCGCTTGAGGTTAGTGTAAGGGAAGGCATTATGAGAAGTATGTTTATAGCCATCAGCAAATAAGATAAAAATCAACGTCAACAAAAGAGCTTAAAGTTAGAATCAGCAGCTCAAAATAAGTTTTAATTGTTCCTTATTCTTTGGGGTTTTGATTGTTACCGAACACTATTGACTAAGACTTTGGTTTCTCAAGGTTTAACGATTTTTCATGTACAAAGCAGTTGAAGCGACGTCCTACATACTTTATTATGAAAAATTCAAACATCTACTCTTCAGCACAAGTTTCCAGAGTTATTATTTTTCGTATATCAAATATCGAATCGGTCATTCAATGCCCAGGTGATGCAGAAATAGGCAAACCAAAATTTTTTTGAGTGCTTCCGGAAAAAAAAACTTAATGGAAAAAAAACGGAAATCAATGCAAACTTTTTGAATCCAAGACCCGAGGTTGAAAAAGGGAAAAGATACAAAAATTGTTCAGGGCCTTTTTTGAAACTGTACTCTATCAAAAAGTTAAAGTCGTCATTAAAGGGGCGGATATAGAGAGGGGGGGAGTCGAACGCATCCCAACCTCAGGGATTCGACCCGTTGCTATCTATATAATCTATATACTATCTTTAAGGGGGAGCGCGCATTAAAAAAATGCGTTTTTTTGTCAAAATTTTCCAAAAAATGCCCAAAAACGGCTTTTTTGACCTGTTTTTCAAAAAATTGACTGCGGCGCTGAAAATTTGACCAAAACAGCGTCTTTTTAGTGGTTTAGAACAGCTCAGAAATCCGCCCATTCTCGAGAAAATCCTAGATCCGCCCCTGGTTTTTCAATTTCCATTTATCAAAGTTTTATAATCAATTCATTGTGGGCACAATTTTTTTTCTCGAGAAAAGAGTTTTGAATGCAATAAACAGAAACTTGAAATAATGATAAAAAACAAAAATTTGTTCAGTACCACCTTTGATGTCTTTCACTCATCGCTAACCGCCGCATACGGATTAAAGATTGCTTTTTAGTGCCAAAAAGATAAGACTGTACAATATTACGCTCGAAAAAATGTTCAATGATGACTCAATTTTTATTTTTTCAATATCGAACTGACAATTATGAAGCTAAAATTGATTTAGATAGATTTTTATTCAAATAAAATACCGTACAAAAAAGATTAGATGGATCGTAAAAACAGTTTCAATGAATTCAACCTAAACAGATGATTACATTAGAACAAAATGATTTGAAAAGATTTCAATGGATTTTTGCATATGAACGAAGTCTACTTACTTCTCAACAAAACAGATTTAACTCAGTTTTTCCATTTGTTTCTAAACTTGAGCAAAATTTTGTAGTAGAAAAATCTCTATTCGAATTACAGAGAGCAACAGTCACTGGAGGATGGTTTTTCACCGTGAGGCGACAATTCGTAGCAGGTGACAATTCAAAACAAGCGACAATTTTTAACAGTAGTAAGCGTACTGAATGTAAGCGTAGCGAAGCAAAGCGTATTTCACTTGCCAAGGCCTTGTTAATTGTTGCTTGCTAAAAACTGTTGCATGTTACGATTTTTCGCCTCTTACGAATTGTCGCCCTACCGCTTTTCACCGCAAACTATTGAGTTTAAGGAAAACCGTTTTGATTTTGGCTGAACTAAGGTTTGCCACTCAATCAAAAATCAAAAGTAAAAATCAAAACCAAGGTTTCTTTAAGTGTCATTTTCCTTATCAGAGCTTTAAGCGCATTTTTTCAAACAAAACACCTTTTGAAAAATTCAGTTAGATATATTAACTTTTGGCGATAAAATTTATGTGTTTTCTACACTCATAATTTTGTTTTAGGCCAAAAATTATCCGGACAAATCAATAGAGAAGCAAACTTACATTTTTTTCCCAGTGTTCTCAAATATTTGATATTTGAGAAAATCTGAACTAAATAATTTTTATACAACTTGAATAAAATGAAAATTCCAAACAAATAGTTGGAAATTGATTTAGAACCGAATGATATTGATTTTTGTAGCTACATTTTGTATCAAACTAAAACGACTTTGATGACATTACCGTCCTTACATCAATTTTCATGACAAAAACTACAGCTTTAACATATGTTTTTATTGCCCAAATTACCGTCTTTTATAAATTTTCATGTCCAAAATTACAGTCTTCAAATAAGTTTTTACAACCGAAATTACCGTCATTACATCTTCACACAAGTTGATTATGACTTAAATTATTGTGTTTACATAGGGTTTTTATGAACAAAGTTACCGTCATCACAAAAGTTTTCCGCGACCTCAATTACCGTCTTTACGTAGGTTTTCATGACTAAAATTACCGTCTTCACAGCTCGACCTACTCGTCAAAGAGATAACTAGCGTGTTCTGACAATTAACAGACGAGATTGATCATAATACGAAACTATGAGTAGAAGAAAGTTAATGAAGTCATAATGATCATACTAAAGTCTCCAATAAAAAAATAGTATACGCTAAGAATAATTTTGACATTTTAATTAGTTAAAGGAAGTGAAAAATAGTTCAAATTAAGGACATCGCACGAAGGTTTGGCTATAATGGCGAAAACAGCTCAACCGTTGGGCTGGCTTAAAATCTGAAACATTTGGGCGAGCCGGCGGATTTTAAAAAAGCTTAAATTATTACTCGACAATTTGAAATTGCAATTAATCATAGAGTTCTCCTTTAACTGCAATGATTACTAACCTAATGCATATTTCTACAAAAAGTTCCCAAAGCTTTTTTTCCCATTTTTTTAAGTAACGAAATGCGCTCTTTTTATAACTAATTACGTTGGTAATTTGTAGAGTTACTGTTTTTAAATCCAAGAATGATCCAAGAATTAGATACTTCATCTCATTTGTTTTTCATATATTTCAAGAATTTGTTCAGTTTTAAACTCAAATTCCAATGTGTTCATTTAGGTTTAGATATCGACTAGTCTACACAACATAATCTTCTTGGTAAATAACGCATTTGCGATAATTTTTGTAGTTTATTTCGCCCATTTTTATTTTGAAGTTACTGGTTTCTCAGTTTTATAATTAGCTGAGTTTATTTGGCTCAAAACAGTATAAAAAATTCTCGTTTTTGAATTATTTTATAAATTAGTTGAGTTTATTTGGCTCAAAATAGTATAGAAAAATTCCCGCTTTTGAATGAATTTATAAATTACGTAAGTTTACAACAGTGGTTTTATCTGGGCAGCTTTTGAGACCGGTTGCCTTTGTACCTAGCAGTCAACCTAATAAATAGTTCGTTTTGCGACCCGATACAAAAAAAAGTTAAAAATTATATTATTTGAAAAATTAAGAAATCGAAACGACTTCTCAACGTTTACTGTGATATAAAATCAAGGGGCTCTTCAGTAAAGTACTTTCGGATTGAGTATACAGTCTGTTCTTCACTCTGCTTCTTTTCTGATGGATAGGTTCGTGCGACTTCTTGGTCTTAAGCCGAACTTAGTCCTAGTCTTTTTTTCTTAGACTCCCGGGTTGACAAAAATGCTTATCATACATTTTGCATAAATAAAAAAATGCTTATCATACTCTTTCATACAATTTCATAGAGCAAAAGTATATGTATGAAAATAGCAAAATAAGCATTTTTTCCATATATGAAGTTGTATTATAAGCATTTTTTTCATACTATGAAATTGTATGACAAGCATTTTTTTCCATAAATGAAAATACAAAGAATTTTTGTTTCAAAATTTCGTGTTTCAACCGAAACACTAACCAAGGATTTTTTGTCATA